TATTAAGTTAGTACCGTTTTTGAAAATCATACCTAAGTTTTCGATTTCGGTTAGATTTTGTTAATTTCGGTTCGAAATTTGGTTAGTTCGGTTTTGGCATATTAAAGTTTTCGATTTCAGTTAGATTTTGTTAATTTCGATAAGTTCGGTTTGAAATTTGGTTAGTTCGGTTTTGGCATACCAAAGTTTTTGATTTCAGTTAGATTTTGTTAATTTGGATAAGTTCAGTTTGAAATTTGGTTAGTTCGATTTTGGTTTTTGGTTTGGGTATAATTTTTTCTTTAAAAGAAGAAGACTGAATTTTTTTAGAAAACTTACCGAATCAAACCAAACTTCTAACCGGACTAACTGAAATTCCGGTTTGGTTTGGTTCAAAATCCCAGGCCTTAAGATTTTTCACCTACATTGCTCATATTGCAGAGTAACTCTGTTTCTAATGCTCTGTTTTGTCTTTTTAAACCTTTCAGGTCTATGGAGGAGAAGCAAGAATCTCAGCACTAAGACAAGTCTTCCCAAGAATGGAAGACAAAAGAAGCCTTGCTTCCTCCCAAGAACGAGCTCGAATCAAAGGCAAAGCTTCTTTATTAGCTGCACTTGATTACTACGTAAGCATGCACAGCGACATATTCATCTCTGCGTCGCCTGGAAACATGCACAACGCTCTTGTGGGTCATCGAACGTTCGAGAATCTCAAGACGATTAGACCGAACATGGCTTTGATAGGACAGCTTTTCCTGAACAAGAACATCACGTGGGTTGATTTTCAACAGGCGCTTGGGGAAGGACACGTGAATAGACAGGGACAGATCCGGTTAAGGAAATTGAAACAGTCGATTTATACTTATCCGGCTCCTGATTGTATGTGCCATGTCTGATTAGCAAAAGAGTCTTTAGATTGTTTTGTGATAATAATAAAAAGCTCTGTTCTACGATGAGAGGCTGATTTGGTTCTACTTGAGGCTTAATAAAAATAGTTACATTATTGATTAGAAATTGAGTATGTAATGAATCTGATTCTTATAATATTTTGTGTTTATAAGTACAAATCATGATAAATTGTTATACTTCACTTTTATTAGTAACTAGATTTTGACCCGCGCAACCGCGCGGGTGTTTGTTTTCGTTTATAGTTATATAAACATTTTGTTTTCACTTGTAAATTGGTATATATTATAGTAATCACATATTTACGATATGTATAGTAAATATTTTTCAAACATAATAATATTATACAATAAGTGTTTTAATCAAATAGATTGTCTCAAATTTTCTATATTATACATGACTTTCAAACATGTGTTTGTTTCTTCTTCTATATTTTATTGTTTGTTAGATTAGTATTTCATTTTTTAGATAAAGTAATATAAATAGAGCTTGATTAAATATTAGTGTAATTTAATTTGCAAAGATAATATAAACTTCGAAGAATTTTTTGCTAAAAACTAAACTTATAGTTTCATAAATTAATATTATAAAAAGTTTATTAAAAAGGAACTTTTTAAACAATTTCTTTTTTTTAAACAATACAATTTTAAAATTTTAAATCGAAATAAATTTATCTAATATATATAACGTATAAATTTTGTTAAGGTATATAAATATTACATATTAATAATCTGTGATTTTTGTTAATATATTCTGGATGCATTTAACTATTATTGACATATTTCCTTATAAATAATAGAATATTCTTAAATTTATATCTATTGACATATTTTGCGTGACTAAGTTGGAAGGTGTGGGGTAATTTACCAAAACAAAATTGTTAAGCATATTATAAGATAAAATAATGATAATATTATTAGAGAGTTAATGTAACATAACTTTCTAATAACAGTCTATTTTTTTAAAAATCACACATGAAATCAAGTCATGACTTCTGTTTTAATATATAAGATACAATCTGACAATGATAATCATTAATTTAAGGAGCAAAAATAATAAAAAGAGTCGAGTGGATAAGCCCTAACTAGGTGGATACCCGCAATTTTGCGGGTTTGAATGTTTTGTAACAATATATTTATTATATTTTGTCAAATTAAGATATTTTTTCATCATCAAATTTTTTTTTATGTGTGTTACTGTTAAATATTTTTAAAAAATAATGATTTTTGAAAAAGATGATTATGACTATTTCAAATATCTGTTGATATTTTGTATTTAAATTTTTTACTAAAATTAGTTATATATAATATTCATAATTCAGTTTTTAATATAAATGAGTTTTGAAGGTATGTAGTATTGAAACATTTGATTTTTAAATAATTTATAGCTAAAGTCATGTCTTTATTAAGATTAAAAGATAAAACAATATGATTGTTACACATTCTCTATATATTCATATTCAACTACATAGGAATAAATATAAAACTACTATATCAATTATATAAATTACTTATGAAATATATTATATAGTTTATAAATACTTGAGTAATAAAATGATTTTATGAGCATTACATATATTTTATATAAATCACATAGTTAATTACCATAAATTATTTTATGAAATATTTTTATATCGTTTGGATACTGGTAAAAATTGGTTCTAGAAGTGATTTTCTTACTCATAAAATAAATAAAATAGAAAATTTATTAAAGAATCAAATTATAATAATTTTTTCTAAAACTCAAAGACACCTACAAATATTAATTAAGTGAGTTCTCATTTAATATAAAATAATTTTCAAAATACATTTTATAAATTAATATAAAATCTTCTATAAATGACTTGGAACCTCTTATAATAATTTAAAACATCTGATAAGGCAATATAAATAATTTATAAATGATATATAAAGCATGCATGAATTTTATTAAACACTAATAGTTATTATGATACTGTATATACAAATATAAGGCTTTTTATACAAATATAAAATCATTATATCAATTCAAATAAACATTTTTTATTATTTTATGTAATTTATAAATATATAAAAAAATTGATCACATTATTACTCTTTCATAGTTTCAACAATTAGTTACCATAAATAATTATTTCTTAAATTAAGTAGATTATTTGGAAAGTTGTAATTGAGTTATCGTTAAGATATAATTATAATAAATAAAATAAAAAAATCATCCACCAATCAAATTATAACAATTTGAAGAGTCCACTCATGTACGTAATAAAAAATCACTTATGTTATTTCTCAGATAAATAATTTATCTTTTTATAAATAATTTATAATATTTTATAACTTATTTTAAAATTCAGATAAAATTATTTTTTAAACAACGCTAAATAATTTAAAAATAATATTAATAAACTTGCTTGGATTTTGTAATATTTAAAATAGTTATTATAATTATATTCGAATACAGTTCATCAAGTAGAGTATAAAACTATTATAATTATCTTATATAAAATCTCGTTCATTATATTTTATAGTTTATAAATATTAAAAGTAATAAATAAAATATTATTAATCTTTCTATAATTTGAGAATTAGTTTCCATAAATTTTTATTTGTAATATTTTTTAGACTATATGGCAAGTGATGTTAAATGATTTTAAACTTACCATAAATTTTTAGATGTAAATTAAATAAATAAAAATTAAGAACAATCGACCAATCAAATTATAACAATTTCTTGAAACGTCACCTATGAGCGACACGTCACCAGAAACCAATAAAGTGACTTCTCATTTAATATATAGGAGGATTATTTAGCGGAGGACACTCACAAGTGTATAGAATATGCTATTTGTGATATATTCAGATTCTGATTAATGCACTAATTATCTTGTAATTATCCTTTTCTCTTATTTTCGTATTTTGATGAATTGAAATCTATCTGTAGTTTTTGATTTTTTTTTCTTTTGTTAGCTATGTATGTGGACACTCCTATTTACCATTTGACCTCTTGTGTATACGCCTTTATAGATTCAAAGATCGTAATTATTGACAAATTAATGAAAAGTTTGATGTAACTCAATTATTAGTATTAATGAGAATCACTATAATTACACAAAAATCCACTCAGAAAACAAAAGATGCTTTCGATTTCGGGGGAAATACATGAACTTAACATTATTTCCTATTGAAAATTCCAAGCTTCGTAAATTGTAAACTATTTAAGCCTATTATCATTATACAAATTTTGCTATAATTAACAAGGAAATCGATTCGTTAAAATATAATTTTTTTTAACACTTGTTAAAATAATAAAACCGCAATATTTGACCCAAACAAAAAAAAAACCGTAATATTCCGCCTTTTGTTGGTTATTTGGTACTAATCTAGTGTAGTAAAGTGTATAGAAGAAACGTACAGCAACAGTTTCCAGTGAACTAAGTAAACCGTTAACAACCGTCGGATTAAACCTTAACTGGTTTAACAAAAAGCGAGGCCCAGAGTGAGTATAAATAAAAGCAGAGCAGAGGATGAAGCTTCTTCTTCAATACAAAGTCAGGCAAAAGTCAGAGAAAGAGAGAGAGAAACATCAGAGACCTCGCGATATTCTCCGGTTTCCTCAATCGTCGATCAGACTCTTTTCTCTCATTTTCTCGGTAATTTACGTTACCGGAGATCTCTCTCTCTCATCTCTTCGATCGCTTTTCTATTTTCGGCGATCTGGAAGAAGCGTTAACGAGATTTAAATGATTAATTAATAAAGAAGATTTATGTAAATTTCGTTGAAATTGGAGAATTGACTTGAAAAAAATCTTAGACTTTTGTTTTTGTTTTAATTGATTTAATGTGGATGACATCATCATAAATAGTATTAATGGATTGGAGAGATTTTGCTGTTTTTGATTTTATGGAAGAAGTGTTGTTTATTTTGTGTTTGGTCAGTGTCATGATAATAGTGACATAATAATGATGGTTTTATTAATTGAATAGGAGGATGATTATTAAAAAAGGTTACTATTTATTGTTGTTGACAGGGCGGAGAAGTAGAAGGAGATAAAAGGCATCATTGATTGATTGATTGATACATGGCTGGATGATAACAGTTTTATCTCCGGAGGAGGTTCGGAGTTTTTTTTTTGTAAGATGGCAGTGTCTTTCCCTCGTCTTCCGAGGTGGTTGTGTGGTGGTAAGAAAGAGTCCAAAGGGTCTTCTTCTTCTTCTTCACTGAAGAAGACTTGTAACAATAAGACTGGGTCTTCTTCTTCTAGTGTGAAGAAGATTAAGAGAGGATGGATTGGAAGAGGAGGAGGAGAGGAGGAGAAGATGGGGAATGTTGTGTTCCCTCAACCTGATGATCCTGAGTGGTCTATTGGTTGGGTTGAACCACATGGTCCAGGTTTTAAAAGTGAGGATGATACTGCTTGTGGTGGGTTTGTGGTTCTTGTTCCTTGTTACAAGAAGTTGGTTGATGGTTCTGGGAATCAGATCCCAACTGCCTTCTTCTCTCCTGCTCCTGGTACTGTTTTTGTTTCCATTATCATGAATTCATCATCATTATTATCAATTATGTTAGTGCATGGTAGCTTTTTTATCACTAGGAAGTGAACTATTTTTACTGATAAATGCTTGTGTAGTCTTTTGAATCCTGAATTGAATTGTTTGTGACTTTGTGTATGGTATTGAATATGCAGATGGTAAGAATATGGAACAGTGGCTGTCGTCTATGGGGAAGCTATAAATAAACTGGAGAGATTGGTAAGATGAAGACCGATTCTCTCATGTTATTTTCAGTTTCAAAATAAAGAATCGAATAATAAAAAAAAAAGAAGAAAAAAAAGGTAATGATTCGTGGAGAGCTTCTGGAGAAGTCTTTTGATTTTCTGTTGCAAGTGAGTGACACCAAAAACATCAAGTCATCTCTCAGGAATCTACTACTAATGGGGACAAAGGTGATGCTGATGGAGACTTGGCAACATATAAGATTGAATGAAGAATATGATGGATTGGTATGCTATGAATAATGATAACATGATTTGAGTATTTGGATATTTTTTCAATGTGGGTGTTTCAAGTGAAAGCGTTTTCTCTGCTTCTGTGGTCGAGATTATTGGCTTTGGAGAAGAAAAAAATAAATAAATGTTTTGTTCTCTTCTGGTTGATGATGTGTAATAGTAGTGTACATTGTACATAAGGTTCGGTTTAATTGTTTCTTTCTTTCTTCAATCACATGTCATGTGCTTACATCCGACAACACAAGATCCCCAGCGTTGTACACGTTATTATAATCAGAAACATTGGTCTCGTAAAAGATTAAACCAGAGTAAATTCAGCATACGGTTTTTGTTCAGATATAGTTTCACTACTTGTCGTTGGAGTCCTTTGGGAGCTGCAAACCCATGAGGCCGAGTAAATTGGAAGCAGGACCAGGAAGACCTTGTTGTGAAGAGTAGGATTCAAGTAAGTTCTTAACCAGGTTGAAATCTGCATCAACTGGTGTGAATTCATCATCATCTTCTGAAGTCTTTGATGATTCCTGCAGATGTGGCAACATAAAATATCATCAGAATCAATAGTCAAACTCTTCAAAATTCACAGAGAAAAACATGGTTATGTAAGAGTTACCCCGTTTTGCTTAGAAGAAGGTTGATTCACATGTTCAAAGCTCTTGTCAAGAGTTGAGTTCTTAAGCTCCTCATTCATTGCTCCAGAGTATGACTCCATAAAGGCTTCCTTCTCATCATCATCATCGTTAGGATCTTCTCCTTCGCTATCATCTTCAAAATCCATGTCCATGGAAGATCCTTCTGAGCCATCACTCTCATCATCATCACCTTGTTCTTGACCTCCTAACATCGACTCAATATCTTTCATGAAACGGTCGACATCAAGATTCACTTCTTTAAATTCCCTACACCAAGTCAAACAATAAATATTACCATCATACCTTATGTTTCTAACCTCATGAGAGACAGCAAAAAATGAGTAATAACCTGTTTTCTGGCACTTCTGCTCCTTTGTAACTCGACACCTTCTGAATAAACTGTTCCATAGACTTTGAGATATCACCAAGATCAAAATTATTCACATTTCCATCACCCGAGCTCCCACCTTCTTCCTTCTCCTTCTCCTTCCCCTTCTGTTTCCTCTCCTTCTTCGCGTTATAAAACTCCATCTCCTTCTGCCTCTCTTCAAGAACAGAGTTCAACTCATCCTCACCATCGTAAAGCCAAGAATCATCATCAGAAACACCAACTTCCTGACCCTTGAAATCATCCTCCGAGTAAGGCATAGCAAGAATCTCATCAATACGTCTCACAGGCTCACTCATAACCTCTCTGCACATAACAAAAACAATCTCAAATATAAAACAAACTCATAGACAAAATCAACCAAAAAAACAAGTAATTATTATTACCTTGTTCTTGAAAAAGATGAACTCTTCTGATAATACACCTCAGCATTCTCCAACAACCTCTTATACTCTTTAGACCCACAAACCAAACCTTCAAAATAGCCACTCTTCTCAAGACTCTCCTTATACTTACTCCAACCAAACCCTCTCCCTCTCCCTCTCCCACCTTCCCCACCTTCCTTCTTCCTCTCCTGATACATCATCTCCATCCCACAAGCAATCTTCATCCCAATCTCAGCTTCACCAAAACCCTCCTTATCTCCAACACTCGGCATCGGATAACAACTCGGCGCCTGAAACTTCTGCTGTATCAACTGACCGTACATCGCACGTGACATCTTAACAACAACAACCACAAACTCCCGTCTACTCAAAAACTTCTCCATCCTCGTCACGTGCTTCATTAAATCCACGTCACGGTCGTAGAACCTCTCAACGGCTAAAGAGATTAATGAAGGCTCGTGACTAAGCACGTGCGCTACAGTAACGGGGAGCTTAACCCTAACGCGATGCATACTCCTCCACGCTCGTTCGGGATAACCGGAAACCCGGTTCTTCAACGCCGATTGAACCGGATCCGATGCGCGAGATGATTCGGAGGCCCCGGATTTAAGAAACCGTAAGGAATCGAGTAAGGAAGGATTGGGGAGACGGTTACGGGGGACGATGTGGAGGTCGCCGGCGCGGAGGAAGACGCGGTCGCGGCTGGTTTCGGGGTTGAGCCAGCGGGGGAGGAGGAAGGCGGATTCGATGAGGAGAAACTCGCCGTCGGTGTCCCAGACGCGGAGTGAGGTGGAAGGGAAGGAGGCGGAGATGCGGAGGAGGAGGAAGACGGCGAACCATTCGTCTTCTAGGTTATCGCCGTATTTGAGTTTTCCGTGGAGGTGAGGGATGGGAGTGGCGTCGGTGCAGGGGCACGAGGGGGAGAGGGTGGAGAGGGAGATTGAGAGGGAGAAGGGGTCGTGTTGCCAGATGTAAGGGGAAGTGAAGGGGGAGAGGAAGTCGTTGATTTGGAGGTGGAGTGATTGGAGAGAGGCGGAGGAGGAGGAGTCGGGGAAGATTGAGAAGAAAACGGTGTCGTCTGGGAGAGGAGATGAGGTTTTAGAGAAGATGGAATCCGATTCGAGGTTTGCCATGGTTCTTTATTTTTCTGATGACTGAACTTATTCGCCGACGACGGTGACGTATTTATATGCTGTAACTGCAAACTTTCTGAGTGGGCTAGAAGGTTTTGGAATCACAAGTTTGTGATTTACTAAAACACCCTTCATCGGGTGTGTACTAGAAGCTGAACAGGAGGAGAAAGTAAAGTAAGCATGAAAAGTTCGGTTTCCGGTTCAATTTGATTCAAGTATTTTGGTTTTCGATTTTTTTGGTTTTTAAATATTTGAGAACAATTTGGTTATTTACAAATTTGGATTGACTGATTGTTTCAATCTATACTATTAAAACTGAAGTACAAAAAATTAAGTGTTTGGAAAGATGAATAGGAAATATTTAAAATTATGGTGATTGCAAACAATGATAGCCTACAAACCTAATGGACTTTATTTAC